GAAGATTGCAAGCATTGTCAAAGAATTGATATGCATGAGAAAAACACTGGTCCAGCTGTGAGAAGAACAAGTCTTATCGTTAATGATAAATGGACTACCAAACAAATAAGAGAAGATCGAGAGGCTCAGTGGAACTCTCTGACCGTAGAAAATGGTTTACTGAAAAGAGTTTGGGAAAGTGCCGGTGGGAAAACTACGAAGAACCAACTAGTTATTCCAAAAGATCGAGTAGAAGATATATTAAAAGAAATACGTGACGAAACTTCAGAGGCACACATAAGACGTTAAAAACTGGTGCCAAAAATGCGACATTTATGCTACCAGTAAAGGCCCTGAACTAAGATCTCGGGGGCCCATGAAATACTTAGTACAATATCGGTCTCCCATTTGAAAAAAATAGCGATAGATGTAGCCGGACCGTTCTCTGAGTCAGAGCGTGGTAACGAATATATCTTGGTTATCATGGATTACTTTAGTAAATGGTCATTACTATTGCTCAGGTGCTAGTGGACGAAGTTTTTAGTCGTCATGATGTACCACTAGAGTTACATTCAGGGACGAAACTTCGAATCTGTCATCTTTAACAAAATTTGTGAGATCATGGGAATTCGTAAGACAAGGACAACACCTCTACATCCACAGTTTGATGGCATGGTAGAACGATTCAATAAGACCATAGAGGAACACCTGACAAAAGTGGTCGCAAAGAACCAGCGAGTTGGGACAAACACTTGCCTCTATTTTTAATGGCTTGCAAAGCAACTGTTTACGAGTTAACAGGTGACAGTCCAGCTAGAATCGTTTTTAGAAGAGAACTCTGGTTACCTTGCGATCTGATGTTTGGAATACCTGAAGAAGAACGAAAAAAAATTCGAGACTAAGTCGACGAAGTAAGGGCACGACTTCTGGGGATACGTCATGATTTAGCTCGGGAGCATATTCAGCTGGCCAGTGATCGAATGAAGACCAGATACGACTTGAAAGCCAATTCAGCCGGATTTCCAGAAGGTGATTTAGTGTGGCTGTATAATCCAGCAAGAAAGAAAAGAGTGTCGCCGAAATTGTCTTCAGCATGTCTACAGAATAATCAAGAGGATTAATGATTTGGTTCATCGAGTTCAGCGCAACACCAGGACTACCAGGAGTGAGATGAAAGTTGTACATTTGGACAGATTGTCGAAATATCATGGGCGCGAAGTTGATCGGGACGATCAGCCTTAAGAGGAGGGCAGTGTCGCGAAAATCTGGCGGAAGCGCCAGGAAGTACAGAATTGGACAGCTGGTTCTAGATTTTACAGTGCTATTCGAGAAAAGGGACTATCGCGTTTATTCTGGATTTTACAAGAATGGATTACGGATATATAAATGCCGGTACTAGTTAGTAGTTTTTAGTTTTAAGATTGACTGTGATATGATTTAGATAGTGAATTTTGTAAGAGTTGTTTCAGTAAATTAGTGAAGTAATTAGTTTCAGAGTGTATAGTAACGTGGAATAAATTATTGTTGTGTTAATTGGACTTTGATTTTGGAATAAACGGACCCAAGATTTCTGTCACGCAAGCCAGAACCGTGACAATATCCTCCATTGCAGAGGTTGGACAGAGGTTCATACAACGTGGTCGGTGACTTTTTCAAGATGTTGGTTCCCATATACTTAACCTCACTCGCAAAGTTTATTTTTGTCCCATTCAAAGTTGGAGCTGTTAGATACAGTTTCTAAGTCAGAGAGTCAGTTTAACTAAGAAAATTCTTGTATAAAGTTAACTGGAAGCAATAAGTGATAAGTGTCAATTATTCCAATAAAAGTTTTCATTGTTTGTAAAAACAGTTTAGTGGACCTGCGCAATAATGGACCCATTATTTTCAAAGTAAATCTCGATGATCTTTGTGCTTTAAGCATCGGCATTTCTCTAAATAATTGATCTTTTAGGTCTTCTCTACCAGGTTAAATGGAATCAATTGGGTCAGTTTGAGTTTTTTCAAACTTCTTGATTGTTTTGCCACTTTCTATAAACGTAAAAAAAAAGGGTTTGATAATTTAAATTATTGTATAGAGCTGTTGAATATCGCTATGGAACTTTCGCGTATTCTGATTCCCTTCCTTATTGACAAACTTTCAATAGAAACAAAATCCACGCGATGAAGGATAGTTTCCAAGAATTTCGCTTCTATAACGTGACGAGCGAGCTGTTTATGGCATTACGCTAAATCTATAATGGAGAATCGAGTCGTGCCTCTTATTTATTAAATGGAAATGCTATTCGAAAGCTCTTAACTTTTTTCCCCATATTTCCGTTTGTGAACTCGTCGTTTGCTTTTATCCAGAACAAATTTTAAAGCGAATGGAAATGTTCGTAACTTTCAAATGCAAGCGTTTCGTTTTCGCGATGAAAGCCACTCACGAACTGGAGCGTTTCAACAATTTTTTTCATATACATACATACATAATATTCACCCCGGATTTACGTAGCCCGTGCATAAGAAGTTTTCCAGTTTTCAGGTGGATTTGTAGAGAAAGCATCGAATCCACTTGCAAGCTAATGTATGGGCTAAGTGAATCATCCTGTATACATATATACCTACGTACATAAATATGTAAATAAAATATCATGTTATATTATTCATATTAATGCAACTCCATTAAAAGCGTCATAAAAACCAAGAGCTGTACGGCCCTTGTTTACTTTATAATACCTACTGTAAAATAATGGAGTTGATGGGAAATGAAAACCACCTTTAAAAACGGCTATAATATGGAATATCACTGAAAGGATAAAGGTAACAGCATTAATTTAACAGAGCAGTGAGGCTAATAATTATTAAAAACTGTGTTATTAATATATTTTAGGTTCGTACCTATTAAATAAAGATTTTTATGAATCAAAAAGGTTTTTTGACGTAAATCAGCTCCAAATGAGATTTCACGGTGGCTTCTCATCTCATTAGACCTGACCCAAGAACAGCCAAGAATTAGGTGAATTGATGTGTATTTGCTTGAAAAACTCTCTTCTTCAAACTGAAAGGCATTCTTGTCCATCGCAATTCCCATGCATCAAGGTGCAGGGTCTTCCCAATCCCTTTACAGAAGATTTATTTTTCTGCATTGTCGTCCTTGTCTGGGAAGTGTATTTTATTTTATTGTCTCTTTAGATTCACTTACTGAGTTTTACTTTCGAGGTGCCTTGTGCAGAGTCCGGATCATACCTACTTGCATGCAGAACTCACTTCCTAAATAATTACCAAGTTTCTAATTAAAGTAAAAACCATGTTGTCTCGGACTCTTGGCTGCCCTTTTTAAAAAATTCAGGCGTCGAGTCGCTTTCACTGAACTCATGCACTGACAAAAAGATAGTTTGTTAACCAGGGTGACTTGTGAAACTAGTTTGGCTCTAAAATGAGATGAGATGTATTTAGATTCCTCTAGCAGTTCAAAACTCGCTAGTCTAACCCTTAAATTCCCCTGGGCTTCACTTCAAAATCGGATATCTTTGTCGGGAGCATCGGAAGGTCAATATCTTGCCCGGCGATAATTACTTTGTCATGCTGAAAGGGCGATAGCTGTCTGAATAATAAGCAAATCGAATTAGCTGCTCTTATCGTGCTTATTTCCGTATATAATAAAGTTAAGGATATCAAATAATTTGTCGTTATGAATAAATATCTTGATGAGTAACCGAGTTTGTTGTCCTATTTGTCTTTGAAACGCTAACTAATTATTCCAACCGCCTACTTTTTGTCGTTCATTGATAAGTTTATGACAATTGAAATTTGAATTTTCTGGGATGAATTATTCTTGTATCGCCTTGACCTTGCTCGTACTGATGCAAGTGTTTCTCATATGTTACACGTGTGTGACATGTATTTGTAATAAGACTTTATCATGAGTAGAACACTTGTGACTTTGTTGAAATATCGTATTATTTTTCCTTCATAAAATATTGTGTTACGAAATTGGCTTGTTCTTTTTGAATTATGTTAAAACCTAATAAGAAAATAGCCTTTGGAAATAGGAGGAGTATCTTTGAGATGAGGGCACGTACGAATATATTGGAAATAAATGAAAGAAAACAGAAAGGAAACGACCGTTCGTTTATACAGTTCCCGAAAAATGGAAGCGAAAGGATTATATAATAAAAAAAAAGCAGAAGAAATATTTATACAGCTTACTACAGCTTCAAGCTACTACCACTATTAGCCAAAAACTAGACCACATTCAAAGAATGACATGCTGCAAAAATGAAGAAGTAATTAGGAGAATTAGGGGAATTTGGACCGCTCTAGAAAGTTTGGGATTTTGATATTCCAGGACCAAGTTCATGAAGACTGCATATTGGAATCATGGAATCGAATCAAAATCTTACAGAATTAGTGTCGTTGTATTGTGGAGTCTGGAGTCATCAAATATTCTGCCATAACTCAAGCGGTATTTTATCCTGACTGAATGAAGGTAACACGTACAAGAATTTTCTAGAATTATTCTCACGGATTCCGGGTCCACGGTCCACCAGATTTCACTTTATAAACAGTAACAACAAATTATTGATCAATTTGACTTTATGAAAAGCTACTTATCTCTTATCAAAACGTACACAACAAATCTCGTACCTATTTAAACTAGACTGACTACAACAACCCTCTTTTTATTTAAATGGCCTACCAAATCACTACTACAGGTGACATCGTACTCCAGATTTATCTATAGAAGTCTAGTTTTCTCGAATACAATAAAATTTCCAGAATAAACGTAAACATCTGAACTCCTAGAATTCTGGCTTGTTTGTCGATGCAATTTCGGAACATCATGCTCAAGTTTATAAGATTGGACAGCAACAAATTTCAGTAATATCAGTTAATTACTATAAAAATTTCTTTTTCAACCCTTTATACAATATTCCTTAAGTGGTAAAGGCTAAAAATAAACCAACACAAAATTATATTAAACTAAAACAATATATGCGTGTATATTCAGTGGAAATTAGTCGATTTTCGTATTATTGCAGCTATCTGCCAACGTAGTCGTGTTCCTGTGCGTCAACATTGTCGGAATTTTCATGCACAATCTCATGGAACATGCACAGCGAAAGGCATTTCTAGACACCAGAAATTGCATTGCGGCACGACTGGAAATGGAGGATGAGAACGAGAAACTGGTAAGATTTTATTTAGAAATATTAATCCTAAATTTGTATTGTCGGAAGTGATTCTAGAAATCCACGACTAAAGTGCACCTAATTAATTAATCCTTTGAAGCTTATCCTTTGAAATTTACTGCGGAAATTGTATGCCTAAGGATAACAAAGAAGCTGTCTATTTTTTAACAAACAAAGACCTCTATATTCTTGTCGAATTAGAGAAGCCTTCTGCTAATGAAGCTACCTAACGAACTTAGCTGGAAGCGAAAGTAAACTCTCTGTATAATTTAACTCGAAATTTACCTAAAAGTTCTTATCGCCGTTAAAATAACAAACCCTTTTGTTGAGCGAAACATGGTAAAAGTTTTTTTTTTTAAATAATTTATACAATGATTTTCTCTAAGAGTCTAAACGGCGTGACTGATTTTTTGTTATACTCTGCTGGCTACGAAAAACTTCCAAGGAAATTAAATTGCTATTTTAAATTGGCTAGAGAGCTTCCATTTTCCTCACAGGAAATAATAATCTTGAAAATCTTTTGTGCATTTCTTTAATGTATTTTATCCCTTTTGAAGGTTTTGCCAAGTTCTCTACACAATACCAGAAATCATATTTTCAATTACATACTATATACTTTTACCAGACCGAACTCTGTATCTGTCCCTCTATCAATTCATCCCGATTGCCCCTATATACAGTTTGAAATAATGTTATCAAAACGGGACCGATATTTTTCAGGAGCGACTGCTTTTGTCGGTCCTTCCCCAACATGTGGCCATGGAAATGAAAAACGATATCATATCGCCTGTCGAAGGCCAATTCCACAAGATCTATATCCAGAAACATGAGAATGTCAGGTGAGTTTTAGCTTATTTTTTTTGCTTTTGCTCTAATTTCAGCATACAGGAACATGTTTTTTATAACAAGTTTGGGTGTTTTTGAATATCATGACCTGCCTGGGTGATTCTTTGTTATTGTTTCAAATAAGATTTGATTTTGGAAAATTAGACTCACTTATATACGAACCCGCTTACGTAACAATATCAACAGTGGGTCAGATATAGAATAAGTGAGTGAATAAATTTTCTTCTATGGTGCCAAACTGCGTTAAAAATAACGCTGTGTCTAGCCTCCCGGCACCGGTATTCATATGAATCCCGGTTTTGACGCGTTTTCAATGACGTCGTCAACAACCACCGGTAACTGTAGTGGATCCCGGCTATTGCAATACAAGATGTTAATAATTATTATGTTCATTGGTATTGGGACAGAATTATTATGTAGGGTAAAAAAAGTAAAAGAAGGCGGGCGCGATAAGCTTTTATTTATGGGAAATAAAATTATGACTTTTATTATATGTACCTACATAGAATACATAGGTATTATTGGAACAACATGAGTATAAATTCTTACTTTTTGGTATCAATTGTTCATGCACAGCTTACATTCCAAACAAATCCAATTTTTAGAAAATTTTGGTATTTTTTTCAACATTGTACATTTAATATGTCTCCATAGAAGACATAAAAGATTGTACAGCATTTTGGAAGTCTGTTCAGCATTTGATCTTGTACAGCAACGCCGTTAATACTCAGCAACATCACACAGGGTGCCCCAAAATTAGAGGTTAATATTTTAACTGCGGATTCTACATCTCAAATTAAGAGCAAAAATTCCTATGAACATGGGTCCAAGAGTACCCTATTTCAGAGATACAGGCTGTTAAGCTATAGGTAGTCCTGAATAATGAATGAAAATAAACCATACTATTCCCTTTTTAAACCACTACTACGAAAAGTGGATTAACGAAGTACTTACCACTCTAATACCAATATATCACAACAAGAAACAATAATAGACAAAAGCTATTCCGGAATTATTTACAACCTCAAGCTCAAGCAGCAAGAGAAACACGACTTTGAATTTTGAATCCAATAGCCGGGATCCACGATAAATAAAAAAACTTTTCTCGTGTAGTTTTACAAATATTTTTTTTAATCTTAAACGATCGTGTTCACATTAACAATTGGTAATGCACTGATCGGTGTTCCTCAATACCCCTCCTTGGGCAATAAAGCTATGTTGCCAAGAGTCACAGGTATCCAAAAAATTGAATCTGCGCTATTTCCCGGACTGCGCTAATACCCCAACCTCTCCTACTTCGTTTTTATTCATACAACCCATTATCTTTCCAAAGATTCCACATACTAAGTTCAATCTTGCAAAATGCAACTTTTTGAGTGGAAAAAAAGTAGGTAGATACTTATTACAAAACAAAACATAATTCACTTTTCATTACAAGGTATTAGTATTTATATTACTGCTTTCATTCCGAAGATATATCAACTATACCCTGTTTCCTTCTGGTTGAGAGTAGGTGACCTCATTATGAATTCAAGAACACAAACAAAATGGTCGAAAACATGGTGAGCATTGTAGGTATAATACGTGAATGTAACAGAAGCATAAACCTAGATTCAACAATACAGGGTGTATCAGGTTTGTTGACTATAAAAATTTTAACACGTGAAATATGGCCCATTTTGAAAATGGGGTCAGAAACCGCTTTATTAGAACTTACTGATAGTAGCCAAAACACATTGCAGTATAAAGTATTAGCCATCTGCGCCTTCTTAAACATAGAGTGGGCATTTGATAACACCCCGCATGAGTCAATAAATGAATAAAGAATGTGCTCGTCGAAAAAGGAGTGTACAACACCACATCCACCGGTATGTGCGAAACACTAGTCACCAGAACTGCAGAAACTGACAGTGGCGGATGGGCCCATCGTGATGCCGGGGGATTTCCCGATGAGCCGGTCCTTCAGGCGCCGATTGGCGCCTCCTCAGGAAGTTCGAAAATGATTGAAAAAGCAAAAAAGCCAGATAGCTAATTTTTTAATTGATTTAGCATTTGGCAACTTTCCAACTCTGGAACTCTGTAAATCATAAGTATGCATGCCGTAAGCGCCCATACCACTCCTGATGTTTTAAGGAAAATTGCATTGCTTGCTATATTCCGTTTTGAGGTATCTTCGCGTTTGTCTGCCTCATTTCATTATTCCAGATTGCATGTAGGTATGATCAAAACCGCTATGTGACTGGTTAGTGGTTTGTGATTTCTGTGAGAACTGACCTGCAAGTGACGCGGCTCCGATTATCGGCAAATAGAGTAATTTCGTCGTCTTGTCTTTATTCAACTCAAGAGAAAAGAGAAGGGTATGCGCAGAAGTCGATCGCTTGTGCTTTTTACTTCTTTTTGCTGGACAGGCGCGGCACGGTTTCAATCGACTTCCCGCGCCGGTCTAAGGGGCCCCATCCGCCCCTGCCTTTGGGGCTCTAGGCCCGCTTGAAATTACGGGCCCCTTCCCCCTACTAGGGATGTAATTTCAAGGATGTGTAAACCGGGAATGCCTCCCTTCAGAAATTTGTTGATAAAGTAAAATACACTTCAAATCAAAATAATCTAATATTATATATAGTATAGGTATAATCGCAGTTTTTATTTGCATTAGTAAAACAAAAAAATATTTTCAGGAAAACTTTACTGAGTTTAAACTAAATACCTATTCGAAAGACCACAGGGAGATCCAATTTGGACACTTTCAATAGGAGCAGAGGAAATTCAATTTCTGAGCGAAAGGCAAAAAATGGAACCATCAGACTCAAATTTCATGAATCTTGATTGGTTCAAATCGCATTTCGCAAGGTCCAATTTTTTTTCATGGGACACCCTATACATATAGGTATTTAGCTTATTGGATAGCTCTGAGCTCTGCTCTTGCTGATTTCAATGATATACAGTAGGATAGGTTTATCTCTTCAATCTGTATATGTATTTCAGAAGGTGTCAGCACAGACACAGCCTCCTATAGTTAACAAGCCATGAAATTGGAAATGACGGCAACGTCGCGTATGGTGCTATTTTGTTATTGGGTTATGTGTTTCTGTGTATTGCTTTCATTGTGTATTGTTGCAATTTAGTATTTTTATGGGCATTATTGACGAAAAAGTGGATAGAAACACACCAATATATTGCCCATATTTAGTTGATACCTGTTCCTTTGTGCTTTGATTGCAAATTTTTAGCAAATGGGTACAGGAGCAAAAATGAAGGTAAGGTAAGGTAAAACAATAAAAACAATATTAATATTTGTCTGCAAGAGCATAGGTCTTGATATATTACCTAAGATATTTAAAATTGTTCCAGATGCCATGAAACTACTGTGTTCCTGGGTGCAAATCGAACTATTAGGAGTTCCTTAAAAACTGAAGAAATGCAAACATTTTTATTTCCAAAAAAATTCTGAAGTGCAAAAAATGTGGATGAAAGGAATACACCAAGATAATTATACCCGAGATTATACAATAACGAAAAATTCTATGGTGTGTTGTAAACATTTTGAAGAAACCGAAATAATTAGATTTGAAACAAACAAGGATAAAGGCGTAGTTCGAGAGTTCAAACTAAAAGGTCCAACTCTTAAAAGTAGGTACCTCTTATTTTCGAAAATCAGCTCAAGTATTTGAATGGACTTGCCTTCCGAAAAAATCCCGAAGAAAGAAAAAGTTAGATTTTCAAAAGACATACTGAAACATAGGCCTATAACACTTTAGACTCTAGAAATATATTCATTTAAATCAATTATTTACTGTTCTTATTTACACAAATAGTTAAATTATTCATTGAATTACTGTTTTTGGCCCTTTAGTACAATAAATTATGTATTTTTTGTGATTCATATTAATAAAATAAAAAATATATATTTATACAAACAAACACCACCAGCACCACTTGGCGGTAAGATTGCGGTGTTGCCTTTTTAACTTCATGGCTTGTTAAATGTAGGGGGCTGTGGCACAGAGCTATCTTTGAGGTGTACTGGATAAAAACATGTAATAGTTAACACGTTAATCGCCCAAATGGAACCTAAAAAAAAGTTTTGACAGGCCCAGATAAAATTATTTCTTCAATTGATGAATAATACTAATCGCATATATTTGTATTTTTTTCCATATGTTACCTTAAAACAACCGAAAATATTACTTTGAAAATGAAACCCGGCTTTTGGGTTTCGGGGCCCCTTCTAGGTGTGAGCCCCGAAACCCAACTAGCGGTGTTCAAAGATACAAGCCTAAGCTTGTTTACTACGTGCATGAATATTAGATAGTAGAAAATGTGTGTCCTGCTACGAAAAATTAAGTGCTGAATAAGGCAGAAAAGTAGCTCAAAGCAAACGACCAGAGTCAAGATTTTCTTACATACACTGTAAATTTTTCTGTTGTCTGTCCTGTTTTTTGACTGTGACAAATATATAGAGTAAGCATTTAGTTTATACATTATTTTGGTTTATGATAGATAAATAATCTTGTTCTGGTAATCCATGCCCTTACCTACAATCAATAAAATGTGGTTCTACAGAAAAAAATGACAAAAAATCCTAGGCTCATACATTAGTAGGGTCTCCCAGGCCCCTCTGAGAAAAACTCCATATATTGCAATGTTCTTTGAAGCCCAAGAGCCGGGTCACAGGCTTTAAAGTGTACGCGCATGGTGACACCCTACATACAGGTTTCAGAACCTGGTTGACCACTAGCTCTAAAACCCAAATGTAGGGTGTCATGGCGATTAACGTGTTAAGTACCTATTTAAACAAAAAGTTTTAAAAACAACTTTTTTCGCACGGTGAGAGAGTTTCTTGGACCGAGACCGAGCCGTAGGCGAGTTCCACAAGTCAAGCGAGTGTAAAAAAAGGTTTTCAAACGAGTTTTTCACAATGCTTCTCCTGCAACTGCAAAATAAAACAAGTACCTAATTTGTATTTGTTAGAAAACAAATCATCAACATCAGAAAT